CACAAGGGCATCTTTATTTCCCAACGGAAATATGTACTAGATCTACTAGAAGATACAGGCAAGTTAGGGTAAAACCATTTGATTCACCAATTGAACCTAATCATCTTCTGGGAGACAGTCAGGGAGAGTTTTTGAAAGATGTAAAGATGTTCCAGAGACTCGTGGGGAGACTTTTGTATTTGTCTATGACCAGCCTGATATTGCCTATGCAGTGGGTGTCCTTAGTCAATTCATGCACAACCCTAGGACAACTCACTTTGAGGCTGCAGAGAGGATCTTGAGATATCTCAAGAAGTTTCCTGGAGCTGATTTATTGTTCCAGAAACACAGTCACTTAAAAGTGGAAGTATATATTGATGCAGATTGGGCAGGAGCAATCAATGACTGAAAGTCTACCAGTGGATATTGTGCCTTTGTAGGAGGAAACCTTGTCACATGGAGAAGTAAAAAACAAAGTGTCGTGGCTAGATCCAGTGCTGAAGCAAAGTATAGAGTGATGGCTCATGGGGTTGCGGAAATCATGTGGATAAGAAATATGTTAGGTGAATTGGGTTTCGCAGTGAACAATCCTATGTCACTCTACTGTGACAATAAAGTTGCCATCAATATTGTTGCTAATCCAATCCTGCATGATAGGACGAAACACATTGAAGTGGACAAGCATTTTATTAGAGAGAAACTTGAAAGTGGAAAAGCGTGTACACCATATGTCAGCTCAGAAGAACAACTTGCAGATATCTTCACCAAAGGTCTTCATCATGTGCAGCACAAAGATTTGTGTGACAAGTTGGGCATGATTGACATCTATGCTCCAACTTGAGGGGGAGTGTTAAAATAATTTAGTTGTTAATGTTAGGGTATGTTTGGCTAGTTAGAGTGTTTTTTATTTCGTTTTTTTCCTTTCTGTTATGTTTGTTATTGTACTCAGGGGCACAAGGGTCTTTTCCCTTGTTATTTCTGTCGCCCTATATATATTAAAATAAAGGTCGGCGCCGCCAGCACTGTTACATTGCAAAACCCTTCTCTCTTCTCTCTTCTCTCTTCTCTCTTCTCTCTTCTCTCTTCTCTCTTCTCTCTTCTCTCTTCTCTCTTCTCTCTTCTCTTCTTCTCTTCTCTTCTCTTCCTCTTATTCCTGGCCGGCCATACTGTCAAGATGATATAAGGCCTATAGGATGGTTAAGTAAAACGAAAGGCTGGTGGAGGTCTGGAGAGGTCATAGGGACTTGGAAAATTAAAGATGTAGTCTCTGGTGTTTTAAGAGAAGTGCATAAAACTTGGAAAAAGAGAAATAAATAGGAAAGAAGAAAGAAGTTAAGAGAATGATGTACATTTTCTCATGTATTCTTTCTCTCTTTAATGAAAACCAGTTATCTTCTCTCAAAAAAGAAGCTAGAGAATGAATAAGAAATTAAGATGGTCATAACATAGTTGTCAAGGCAACAGCTGAACAGCAAGGCACCCTTGGAGGGTCGCCTCACCCAAGTGACTACACATTTTTGTATAAGGCACCACATAATATTTGTATAGTTTTATTTTTATGATATAATAATAACACAGTAGATATTTTATTATACTAAGTTATTCATTTGTGGGTTTATTATATTTTATTATTCTTATCACAGTCTCTTTTTATCATTATCATTTTTGTTTGGATTTAATCGACACATAAGCCAGTGGCATAGTCTTGAACCCTTTAAGACTTCAAAAGGGTTCAATATAAATAAGGAAGAACTTGAAGATTTCATCCAATCACTACACATAAGTCAGTGGAATAGTCTTGAACCCTTTTTATTATTTTCTTTCTTCTTTTTCTTCTCATAAATATGTTGATTTTCTATGTTTTGATATGAGGTTTATACTTATTTCATGAGGATTATGGTAATTAGTAATTAAAGATTACTGCTAATTACTATGATACCTAGGATTTACGTTCATTATAAAAAAAAAAAAAAAGAAAAAAAAAACGTTGCCTGGGCAACTAGACGACAAGACACCCTCCCTGTCACCTAGCTTCATCTTGGCACCTTGAAAATTATGGACTAAAACAATGAAAAAAGAATATATTTTATAACAAATGATAGAGATTCAACCAATATTATGCACATTTCAACAAAACACCTGCCATAAAACTAAGAATAAGTAAGAGACCATAAGGGAGCCGTGCCTTCAGTCTTGGAGTCAGCACGGAATTAAAGAAATTTTACGAAAAATACAACTTCCATTCATTCATTAATTCTCAAAAGAGTCTTTACAATGATATATATATATATGGGCAAACATCAAATCTCTTTGAGATCTAGAAGATAATGAGCCTCCTGATAAATGCAACTAAACAAGGAAATACCAGCCAACAAAGGAAATATATTCAAGTTTAAATGAAGTTAAAATATTTTCTCAATCCCTATTGAATCCTTAATTTGATTAAGAAAATCTCCAAAGGGCCCAACTTGAAATGGCCAAATCTACTAGAATGGGCCCAAGCTCATGAGCTGTCATGGGTGTCTTGAGTGTGGGTTGCAAGTATGGGCTGTGAGGCCCATAGTCTTAGAACAGGGCCTTCTTTTTAGCCCATGTTTTTCTATATCATTAGGCAAGTTTTTTAACTTATAATTTTATCTCATCAACCTATATCGAGGTAGACATCACATTCAGCATGTCCTACCCACAAATTTACAATAGCTAAACTTCCTTATATAAAACCTGGGAAGCTTAATATGTATCCATAAATTTTTAGTCTTAACCTTTTTTGGGGAGTGGTCCTGTTTGGATTAAGGTATTATGCACTGCTTGAGGCTTTCCCCAGTTTTGCTAAGGTAATGGCTAGTTTCTTATCCTTCATATTCCGAACAATAACAATTCCATTAGATGCTTTATTTTTTTTCCACTGGATGCTTTATTAACCCTCTTTGTATGACATTCTATAACTTCAACCTTCAACAACAATATTCCAACTCTAGTAGTAAAGAATATTGAACTATAAATGATTTCTACCCATGATATTGATCTCAAAATTTAAACCCAGCATTGACTACATTAAAACAAATGTTAGCTTAACAAATTTTCATAAACCAAAGTAATAGTGGCTAAAGTTAATCTTTGACAAGAATGCACAGCATTCACTGGTGCTATCTAGAAAAAAAGTATCTTATAAATTGACAGTTACTATCATGAGACCGCTTAAATGTCTTATGCCCAGTTTTTGGGATAAGTTTATCACAACCAAAACACTTCTCATGAGCCTCTGATTGTTCAAGGATAACTATTAATGGCCATTAAAGGTTAAAGATGATTCGACCAATGTCATCATAAAAGTGAAGGTCAGGGTAAATCTAAACATCAAATCATGTGATCTGTCCTATTAGAGATTTGGAAAAATGGTTATGTTCTAACAATCTTTCTACTTTCTTGTGTACTCTCATTCTAGAAATACATATAACTCAAAATTAGCATGATTTACATACATGCATGTGTGTATGTGTGTAGAGAGAGGGAGAGAGAGAGAGCACAAGAAGATAAGCTTTTCTATAACAAAGGAAATTCTTTTCAGGTATACCAAGTGGTTTGGCATTAGAAAATTGGAGATGCCAAACATTACGAAGACAACTAAGCGAAGGAAAAGTACAATATAACATTTCCATCCACCAAAAGGAAGAAAAATAAGTCCAGAAAAAAAAAATACCCTGGGTCTGTATTAATAATATCGCATATCTCAATATTTATTGCCCAGTCCGGACCAATCAACATGTCACTGGTCGCCCTCTCAACACACGCAGCAGCATTATTAGCCATGTTTACACCCTCGCTTACTTCTCCAGCTTTTATCCTCCTAAAACCACAAATAACAATAATGGCATATACCATTCAGTCTCCGAGATCTCCCAAATAGAAAATAATGGCAAACTAAACATCTTTCTAATGCGTCTCTTTGATAAATTGAAAACAATTTTAAGTAAATTTTTTGCAAGGTCTTAACTTCATCACCTATGTGAACGAAAGGAATTACAAATGCAAAAGCAGACAATTTTCAAGAATGAAAATTGAACTAGGACCAAAGAATCCACTGTAAACACTACCACTTAATCAAACCTTTTCTCCAGCCCATCGCTGGGAACTGAAAGAAAACCATAATTCAAAGCAACAAACAGCAACCCATTTGAAATTTAACTGTGAAAACCATAAACCCATTAAAATAAAACAAAAAGAACCCAAGTTTCTGCTTTCCCTGATTCTGATCATAAGAGAAGAAACCCAATAAGGTTTCTACCTTTCCCAATTCAAAACAGGTGAGATGAAACTGAAAACCCATTTCGGATACATCGAGAGGAAGAAAATCCCAGGCGAAAATCACGAAGACAGAGATCGAATACCAGACGAGTTACCTGTCGATAGAGAGAAAGAGCTAAACTAAAAGGAGGGTTTAGGTGGTTGGCTTGCTCTTGCGTGCGTGTGCTTGATGGTGGAGAAAGTTGAACTCTGCCAACGACAATATGTATTTGACTTTTGAAGTTTTAATTCCTCCCTTGATACTGGCTTCTTCCTCCGATCACTTTTGTTTCCTCCTGCCTTATTCTTCGAATCCCCCGGTTTGTAATTTTTATATTTCCATGTTTATGTGCCAATCTGTGCTTCTCTGCTAATTTCTGTCTTGACTTTTCTGTGAGGTGAACGACGCTTCCTATAATACGCCGTGGGCGCGTTATGCGCAAACCCCCCAGTCGAAGGAAGTTGAGTTGAGACGATGGCGGGTGGGCTCTGGCCGTGTGAAGGAGCAAGGCCGAGTGGCTTACATTTGAACATCAGACATGTGCCGGTCGACCCTGGTCCAACAGTTGTCTGGCTGAACCTGAGACTTTGGTGGAGGGCCCAATGAATCTAGTCAAAACTGGCCCAGATCGCGAAAACGTTAGATGTGTCTCGATTCTCGGCTCTCCTCAGGCTCAAAGGATGTCAACGGGTCGGGTTTTGTCTGTATTTGATTCATCCCAGCCCGACCTAATTCACACACACGAAGCCACCCGGCTAAATGAGGAGGGTTTGTCAAAAAAAACATAATATATAAATATATTAAGCTGAAATGTGTACGTAAGAAGGGAGGGTAGAAAAATAGAATTTAATAATATTTTTTGCCTTTTTATTAGAAATTATAAGAATGTCACTATCTACTAGTGCTCTTTCTTTTGCTTTTTTTTCTTTCAAATTATAAAAATGTCACTCTCTCCTACCAATTCTCTTTCTCTTTTTCTTACAAATTACAAGAATGTCATCTCTCTCTCTTGCCATCTCTCTCCTTATAAATTACAAGAATGTCACTCTCTCTCCAACTGAGGGAGACATCAACTCGGCATCTTGGTTGCTAGGGGACCCGCAATCAAAAGTAGTTGAGTTCGAGTTGACCCGAGCTCAAACTTCTGAGTTCAAGCTCAAGTCTCTAATTCGAATCAAACTCAATCTAGACGACACTTCGACCATTGAGGGAGACCTCGGCTCGACACCTCGGCCACAGAGGGAGATCTTGGCTTAGCACCTCAACAACTGATGGAGACCTCAGCTCGGAACCTTGTCAACTAAGGGAGACCTTAGCTCGACACCGCACCTGTTAGGGAAACCTCAACTCGACACTTCAACAGCTGAGGGAGACCTCGATTTGGCACCTCGGCTCGGAACCTCTGTTTGGCAACTCGGCTGCTTTAGAGACCTACAATCAAAGGTAACTGAGCTCAAACTTCTGAGCTTTTGACTCGAGCCGAGCTCAAATCTCTAATTCGAATCGAGCTCAAGCCTGATAGTTTACGCAAGGCTCCCTCCGCTAGTAAAATATTAAGTTACACAAAAAAAATATATGTAGCATAAGTACAAAAAAATGAAAAATGAAACATTCTAACAGATAGACATGTATTACAAATAAAATGGAGAACTTTAATATTATATTTATACACACAAACATAGAGAATCTATTTTTATAAATTTGAATATATTTAATATTATAAAGGGGCTAGTTATTTAAATATACTTTGTTATCAAAATACAAAAGTATAACCCTTATAACCCTATGATTTGCAAAATTTCTTGGATATGCCTTGTAAGATGGCCCCACATAACACAAATAGGTCATCTGTTAAGGAAACATTTAGGGCCATTTCACATGCCCATTAAATTTTTTTTACAGATGCTAGCCCCCCCCCCCCCCAACCCACCCTCTTCTAGTTCTAAGATTGATGGCCAAACAATTATAAAGGCCAATCTAAGCTTGGGTAAGGAAATAAGGGGGTAGAGAAGGAACAATCCAGACTTAGATATTAATTGAGCAAGTTGAGTGTTATGAATAATGTGTTGTTGATAATGGTTTAGTTGTTAAAATTATGTCATTGATACAACTTACTCTCTCTTGTATAGGAAGGTATTTGACTCTAAAATTAATTGAAGGCTTGCAATTGCTAGTTTTGACTATTAATACCATCAAGGAAAGTGGATGTGAGACTGATGGTATTGTGCTAAGTGCTGAGGTGACAGTGTTGTGTTGCTATTTATTTTCCATGTATAAGATTAAGAAGAAGGGCATTATTGTTAAATTTAATAAATAGTTAATAAGAGGGGCATGTTTTGAAAATTTAATAAACAATTAAGGGCATTTTTGTTATTTTATTTGTTTTAAAATTAGGCTTAGAGTAAAATGCTTTAACAAGGCATATTTAAGTAGTAGTTATGCAAAGTTACAAACCATAGGTTAAGTGTTTTGGTCAAACCGAATGATGTATTTAACTAATTAACCCTATAAAAAATATATTTATTATTGTCAAACACATTTAAAATAAAAAATCATATATTTTATTTATTAGTTTACAATTAGGTAATAAATTCCATTTTTTGCATTTTGGCTAAGAAGGATTAATGCATTGATAATGGATTTTTAGTGGTTTCTACATAAAAGGAAAGCTATATATTTGTAGCCCATTTTGATTTGTCATATTCAAGTTGTATTTTTATTTTAAGTTGTTTTACTAAATTTAAGCAGCAACTAAATAGGTAATAAATGCCATTTTTGCATTTTGGCTAAGAAGAATTGTTGCACCAATAATGGATTTGTAGGAGTTTTTGCATAAAAGGAAAGTTATATATTTGCAACCCATTTTGATTTGTCATATTGGAGCTGTGTTTTTCTTTTAAGTTGATTTACTAAATTTAAGTAGTAATTAAATATGCTTTTGACTATTTTCTTCATGTTTTTCATGCATATGGTTCATTAGGTAAAACTCTTGTTATTGATATTTTTCTCCAAGATTTTTTTATCACATTGTACAAGATTTGGGAATTTGGGGGCAGTGCAGGGTAGGGTGCACACAAGGTCCAAAAGCCACACCACAAAGAGCCTATAGTTCCAGGTATTTGATCCCATGCCTCCTATTTGGAGGGATGCCAAATGACCATCTCAACAAACCAATAATCAGCTTTATTGTTTGGATAATTAAAGATGCTTTGAGATTGTCGTAAGAATCTATTAATGTCTCTTGTTGTTTTTTATTGATAAATTCCAAGAGGTTTTGTACGTATAACTTAAGAAATAAAATTCTATATTTGCCAAGAATTGTAGGGTGCATAATACTTTCCTATTACCATTAAGTTCCAAGTTTATCAAATAATATTAGCTTTCTTAATTTCCTTTTTCTTAAAGAAAAAACTTTACTAGTGATTTTATTATCCATTTGATTTAAAATTCATACTCATATATCCTAATGAGTAAAAAGTCGGTTTACATGTTGAATTTTTTATTGGAAAGTGGTTGATTCAAGTTTCATAAAATATATTCTCAGTAATATTTTGTTCATATATAGTATCAAATTCATTTTTAGTTCATTTTATTAAACATTAATGTAAGGGCATGTACTATGCACATGTTCAAGCAAATGTAGGGTAAACCTAGCTACAACATGTTATTTTTATTAAACTTGTACAAAAATCAAGGCAAGTATTTACTTTATATAATATAGATGTATAATTTAATTGAACCAAAATTTAGAGATAATTGATCAAACCCTTTTACATCCAGCCCTCACGACAAAAAAAAAAGCTAATATTTGTAGGGCTATTATTTAAAATTCACATTCACTTTTCCCCATATTTCCTAAACTTACTCTAACTTTTTAAAACCTCTAAATACCTCATACTACAAGAGACCATTGGTTTTTATATATTTATTGTATACTACCATCCCTTTAAATTTGCCATGAATGCAAATTGTGCATGGACGAAACATATTGTACTACCCTCCATTTGATATTTGTGGGTTCATTTATATATATATATATATAATTGTACTACCATCCTATGAAGTTGTGGAACTGTCACAAATGAGGTGTTTACATGAATTTTACATTATTTCACATAAATTTAGCACTAGGAGGCAATGCCTTGCCCCATGCCACAAGACAATTAGAGTGATGCGATGTGCCAAAAACTAAATTTGCCATATTCCGCTATATTACATGCTCAAGTCTCAACATTTCTTTCCATATATTCTCAAAATATAAGATCTTCTACAGATCTGAAAAAAAAAATATGTCAAAATATGCAAGAGAATACTAGGAGATATGCTACTCTACCACATCATTAATTTAGCAAGTGATTCTTCAAAGAAGATGCAAGACTAGTTGGCATAATCTCAAGACTTAGACAATAAGTTACATTAGAATATTCAGTTTATATTTTTGAACTATATACTATTTTCCTAGATATTATTTTGTTATTGCAAAAGGGTTTGGGATGTACCTAAGCTAGTATATATATTCTAGTCACACCCTTTGTAATCAATTTTGATTTTTTTAATAATGAGTGGAATAGCCTTGTTTTGATGCAATTTTTTTCTTTATCATTTTTTTATTTCAATGAAGAAAAATAAAAACTATGCACTAACAACATAAACCCTCCACTATGGGGTCCCACACATATCCTTCCATATTATAGGCACAATATTAGCATGATAATTAACATAATAAGAAAATCTAGAGTTTTACTTAAAAAGCTTTGTTAGCTAGCCTATCATCACACCTATTAGCTTCCCTATAGTAGTGAGATATAATTATTGCGATTATGCCTATCACTTTGGCCACCTTCATGGCTTCAAAGTTGTGATAGTTGATATAGAGTCATGCTAAATAATGAGCATAAAAAGCAATTGTTAATAGCTTGGTTAAGCCCATTATTGATAGCCCATAGTTCAACCATGTCATTTGAAGTACCCCCAATGAAAACATATATAGTATTCTATACATCACCTCCCAAAGTGACCCTGAAAGATTACAATAGTCATTGCTAAGCCTAATTGACCACTTAAGCTTTGATCATAGTGATGAGACTGGAAGGAACCCTATTTTTGTCCCCTAATTTTCATCATTTTATATTATTTTAGCACTTAAATGAATTCATTACTCTTGTATTTTGATCCAGGGCAATAAAGAAGGCAATTGGAAGAAAACAAGGCATTGGGTGATTTTACACAGTTTCGGCAATAGTCTGTAATCTGGGTCTAACTCTCAATTCCAGACTTCGAATTAGACAATTCAATAAGCATTAGAAAGATGAAAGGAAAGCCCACAACTTTCATGTTTTGGGTTTTGACAGATTCGGAACGCATCAAGTACGAGAACGAGCTTGAAGTCGGAGCAAGTTCGCAGCCAGGCCCATTTCACAACTTAAGCCCAACTCGCAGAAGTACATTGAAGCAGACCAAGTTTTAAAGCAGCCCAACTCAAATTCAAGA